CTGATTTCTTTCCCAATTTTCGGCGGTACTAATAACTTTTTTCTCTCATGATTTTTACATAGTGATATATATTTTTGTTTAAGATAGTCAACATTATTCAAAAGAGATTTTTCTAAGAAAAATTTCCTTATAGAGACTGACTTGAATATAATAATTATCTTATTTAAAACTAAATTATTATTTTCAAAGATACAAAGTTTATTTTCCAAATTAGCATTAAAAACATTTGAGGAATTTTTTGTAACAGTAGCCTCTGTGATGCATAAAAAGTTAAGGACTTGCATTAAACTATGACTCTAAATATAATACAAACTGTTTACATTTGCTTTACAGAGTGACAATTATGTTCATTTTGAAAGTACTACATCAGTAATTACTTTACTCATTACAAAAACATATCAGATTATTATAAATGATATCTGGTCTTACCTGAGAGATCTAGCATCTTTGCAGAATACATGCAAATGGAAAATGTCTCGCACTTCCATGGTTTCCACCAAACCCAATGGAACATTTTGATGGGCTCCATCTTGTCGCTGAACAAACATTCTATAGTTAGATAACGCTAAAACTCCGTCAGTGGTTCTCCCCAAATAAGACACTGCTTCTCCTGGCAAAGGCATAAATGGTGTCTTCAAACACTCATCTTCTGTTTCCAAAAGGGCTTTAGGAAACACCTCGCATGCCCGCACATGACAGATGGACTGAAGGCTTGATGGTTGCTCTGTGCCTCCACTAGCCTCCATTGTGACTATCCTCGCCCAGTTCTTAACATGCAAGGGAAAATGTTACCTTTAGTGTGACATTTTGATATTCTGAAAGTTTTTCATATGCACCCCGTAGGGCACATAACAGGTGGTTATCAAAACTAAGATTTGGCCATTAACATGCACATGAATTTGAAAACTACCAACTCAAAAACAATACTCTAGCATGAAGGGCAATAAAAATAAACAAGTTTGTTTCAATCACCAGCATTATCTTGCTATCCTTTTCTTCTAACACATCCTTATATACTCATCCTAATAGGAAACAACAACTAAAAGGGGACAAGTACATTTTTATTTTTTAGGAATTTATCACTAAGTAATATAACTGAAAATTGTCCTATTAACTGATCGAAAGTACAATACACATTAGTTAATCCCAAATTAATTGTACTGTACGTCAGTAGACATAACTTGACTCAAATAATCCAACAAAAAATTGCTGAATATTCTTTCTTCCGATTGCTTTTCCAATTCCTCACGTTTTGCGCACAGCTTTCAATCCACACAAACCTGGAACTTTATATTCTGTGCAGAAATAAATTGAGAAGTGCGGTGGGCGTGCTGGGGTCAAGGATACGACTTCTTATCTATGGACACAAACACCAGACCCACCACATGCCAGTCAAGTTGCATGGTTATCGGTAGACTATGCCAATGCTCTCCTACGCGCCTCCCGTAGTCCCTTGACGTGCTTCATACAGCCATCCAATTAGGTAGCGAAACGGTGGCAAAGTTACGACACGCCTACAACCTCAAAATGTAAGATATCACTCGCGTAACGGACTGACAGTCATACCATTCCTCTTTATTGTAGACAAAGCATCAAAACGTAAGGGTAAAATCCCGTAACTTTGGTAGCTTATATTTGGCCGAATATGCCAAATGTTCTTTTTCTAATTTTCAAGGTTTTACGCTAATGGCCTACATATCGGAAACGTCAAATATTGAACTACTAAAGTACACATCGTACTCACAGTTAAGATTCAAGAACTTCTCAAAATTCTTCTCCTACAGTAAACAGTGCATCTGAAGTCGTAACTTCGGTGCGATAAACATCAAATCGAAATAATTTTCAATTTTCATGACGTCTCACAGCTGATCTCGTGAAGAAACTCACAGTAATGGCGGACACCATGACGTCAGCTGATTCCGGTGACCTTCAGCGCTCTCTGCAGGAGCAAAGTCAAACTGATTCTTCCCAACAAAGGGACAATGCGCGCCATATGGTATAATGTACGCATCTTTTACGCGCTGTACTGTACGCACCTTGCCCGCGCTTGTCATTCACATAAATGTTAAATTGCAATATGACGAAATCTTGAAATTAAATTCATTACAGTCTAAAATACGCCTGTCTCCTGAAAAATCAACATTTTTAACGGCAAAACGAAACGTACCTTCTTGATGTAGTAACTTACGTAACCCTACTTAATCCGTATGATCCTCTCAATATTTACTTTGCACCTTGTTTCGGTCAATGTGATGAAATAATTTTATTGATTTTGTTATTTAGCAGAGTTTCAAAAAGAAATAAAACCAACAAAAAATGACCTCTCGAGAACAGTTTCAATATTTACAAAAAATATCAATATTAAGGCAAAGTATATATAATATATTGAAATCAATATATTTATTACTACTACTACTACTACTACTACTACTACTACTACTACTACTACTACTACTGCTGCCGATAATAATAATAATAATAATAATAATAATAATAATAATAATAATAATAATAATAATAATAATATTAATAATAATAACCGATAAAAAAATTCCTTGTACAGAATCAACTGTTGGAAACAGATGCGAAGAGATCGCAATCGGACTTAAAAATCGAATGGCAATGCTGCCCCTCCTTCAAAAGATGACATCGAAATATCTTGGGCAGGAATATGGAAAGAAAGCAGTTCCTACATCAAAGACGCATCTTGGCTCCAATTGAAGTTGATGCTGTCGATGGACTCATGGAAACAGGGGAGAACCTCTTCCAAGCAATTAAGATCATGGGAAACAGAAAATCCACCGGGATTGATGACAACCAGATTTATTGGATTAAGAAATTAACAGCATTACATTCTCATATAGCAAAGGTTGTTAATAAAATTTTAGAAAAACCAAGGCATTCTCGGAATGGCTCACACGCGACATCACTTATTTGCTACACAAAGCGGGAGATAGTTCTTTGACCAGGGGCGGATTAATATTTTTGCCGCCTGTAGGCACATCAAATTTGCCGCCCTCTGTTTAAAATTAATGTTACATTTCAAATTGTAACGTTTCAGTAACAATTCCTCATTAATTTGAACGTTTTAACTTTAAAAGTAACATTACATTTTGCACATTGGTTTTCATAAATTAAATATTTTTTTTGGATTAGCTAATTTTGGATGTAAACAGTATCTTCATAGCAAGTAACGTTCAACATTACTAACGTTTCAACACTGAAACGTTAACATTAAAAGGAAACTAAAACATGACAACTTGAATTGCAACATGTTTTCTTCCTTCAACAGGTCTTACTTTCAGATTCATATACTTCTGAAATCATAAGGTATACTCTAATGAAGTAGACAAATAAATAGCCTTCGTATTAAATATTTATATGATAGATTTTTTATTTAACAACTGAACGATTAGAATTTAACGACGTTGTAACAGGTTTTTTTTTTAAATAAATTTTTTTCCGGTTTAAACCCCCAATTATAAACAAAGGAATATAACATTTAACTTTTTGGATGGGTTTTTTATACAGTTTGAAATAACGTTTTATTTAATTATAGTAATTTGTCTATTGATCGTAAAATTTTGCTACGTGCCTTTGATGAGGCCAAATTCATCAATAATTATAGTATAATCTAAAACGCTGGGATAATCTTCTTTCAATACACAATAACGCTTAAGGAGTTACCGTCGATACTCATGTCACTGTAGAACGCAAATAATTTTTAATCTCCTTTTAAAACCAGAGACTAACGTTCTGCTGTGCAAATTGGCCACCGGAATACAATACAAGATTCCGAAGTGCAATGCAACGTTACGAATAAATACATTCTAATTCCTTCTTTCGTAACCACTTTAATAAAGCTGGAGGATTCGTTGGCTTAACATCTTCGTTAAAGATTTTTAAATACGAACTTTAAAATGTAAAAGCTCAGAAACAAGCGATTCTTCAAGATCTTGGTAATTGGTGTGGAACATAAAAATATCGCTCCTTTTTCCAATCTATAAAAGTTAATTTTCCTATCTAATGACAGGCCTTAAATTTGTTATATACATCTTTATACACTTCCAGTCTCTTATTCAAATTCTGTGCAAGTAATTTATCCAGCAATAACCAAGTAAGTGTCGATTTTATACTTGTCTCGTGCAGCTCCAGTTTCTGCTGCATTCTCGTTAGTTTCATTTTTACGTTTCCCTTTTCTTTGTTTTCCGATTAGTAACGTTTCAGTATTTGACAGCTTCTTACCGTTCTCTTTCAAAAAAATCAAAATTGGTCTCTGTTCGTTTTAAAAAGTTTCTACAAGCGAAGTGTAAATACCACCACGGAACTTAAATCGATATCGACTTTTTGGCAGTTGTTTGTTCAACGCATTTCAACTGTCCTAAAATGAATCCCCATAACCATCGGCCCTAAATAGCAGTTTCAGAGTCGATTTAAAGCAACAATAAGACTTTAGCTTCTGCACGCGTTGACGGTTTTTGCGTAGAATAATCAGATATAATTTGAAGGGCATAAAACAATTTTGGCCAACGATGTTTTAAAAGCCTGAAATGCATCATGTTGAGCTGACCAGCGCGTAATCGAAAGACTTTTCCAAGAGTGTACTTGGCCGCGCAAGTTTTCCTGATTACACGGACGTCCCTAACTCATGACCAAGCGCGGGGGAAATAGCACGGCCCGTGAAATTCTTAGGTCCGACTCGGAACGGCAACGTATCAATTTTTACAGCGCTACCAATCTCCACTCCTACAATTCAAAACAGTCGAAGTTATTTTCGTGCAAGTGTGTTAATTAGTGTTTGTTAATATATTTGTTCCCATACTTTACGTTTTGGCTTTTTTTGGTTTGGTTTAACGATTACGGTTTACTGTATTTGATTTGACCTAGTTTACTTGCTTCTCCTTTTTATACGACTTTGGCTTATTTATCTGGTAGAAATCTTTTATTTGGACATTTGATCACTGGTTTATCACTCCCAACTTTAGCGTGAAGATTCAACAATGGCAGACGCCAGTCTGCAGGGCCCTCTCGGGAAGAACCTCCGAGAACGCCACCATCTCTGCGTATCCAATAGTTCATAGTGCGGAGAGGAAAATTATTGCTAACGTGGTTAGACTGTTGTCAAAGAGAGAAAGAGAACAATTCGCACTCCTTGCCCCTTAACCAAGCCTTAAAGAGGGCGACCCTTTACACGGGTGCAAGCATTGCATCAGTGAATAGAAAAAAAAAATTAAGGTTTTGCACCCCAGATCAGTCACAAATGAAAATCCAGGCAAAAAGAGGTACTACTGTCGTTTTATTAAAATGAAATACATGACACTTCTTATTTGGAAATATTTAATTATGTTTTATTTGTCGCGAATGGTAAGTGCATGAACCTTTTTTTAATTTGTTGGCAAGAAAAGACCACGCGAGACAATCCTGTTGGCCGATTTCGATAAGAAGTAATCAGGGACACTATTCATGATTTTTTACACTGTCCAGAAGGTTTCCCTTCCTACAATACCAAACTTACTAACCAGTTAAGATTGAGACCAGCTTGAGACAAAAATCAATTGGAATTGGGCCCTTTCATCACTTCGACCATTTTGAAATCTATGGGATTCGTTTGGAGAAAGTTCAGAACAAACGAAATTACTGTTTAGAACCGAGGTAGTATTGTAGATTGGAGATTCGATACCTGGTGCGAACTGAAGCATTTTTAGAGAGGAGGAAGGGAGATATTTTATTTCGATGAATCTTGGGATAGACAATAATATGACTACAGGAAAGTGCTGGCAAAAGGGAGAATGATATTTTAGGAGTGATTCGTGGGGACAGTTTCTGCAAACGACTCAATTATTGGTTATGCAGGTTCTTGAAATGGTTTTATTGAAGGGTGCCTAACCTAATAAATGGAAGCGAACACGTCACAAAGGGATTACATGGACAAATGAACTCCATCCCAATTTTGAAAAAATGGTCAATATGCAACTACTCCAAATATACCACCACGCATCGTCATAGTTATGGATAATGCCCCTTACCATTCTAGACAAGCCGAAAAGAAGTCCGTCAAGAAATACGACACCAAACACTGACAAATGATATGAATGGTTAAGGAAGAGGGAAATTAATTGTGATGCACAGTCATGCGTAAAAGGTTTATTTGTTCGACCTCAGCCTGGGCCAATAAACCGAGCCGGAAAGTTTATGTAATTGACACAAAAATGGCTTCTGAAAAGGGGTCAATACTGGTTAATTCGTCTTTTTCCGCCTTAACAATGTGACATCAATCCCATAGAGTTACATGGCTAATTAAAAGAGTGTTTGGGCATAATGTCCACTGGAGACTTGTCAGTGCAACACCCCGCGGTGAACTTACACACTACACATTCTCCACTGTCCATCTGCGACTGGAAAGGCCTTTGCGAAGACATACAGAAGTGTGACATGAATATTGGCAAAAAGATGGGATTTTGGAAGTAGCTATCGACGATATTATTGTTTAATGGTTGCTGGGACACGGCCAGTGAAGTGAAAACGCGACAGCTATTCCGATGACTCGACAGTAATTGCTATAATTTACGGTAAGTTTTCATCCTACGCTTTGGCCGGCGCTTATGTTCATTTTAAACAGTTGGTAGCGCTGTTTTATGCTGTGACGTAAGCAGAGACTTCCTCTCGCCGCAACCCCCTTGCGGAAATATCAAGAAACTTGCGCGTACAGTACTGGAATCCTTCCTCTACTAAATTTTGAAGTATTGTCCCACCTTCATGTAGATGCACTAAAGAAATTATATATATTTTGAGTAAGAAGTAGAAAATAAGTACAAATGCTTCAGTTGCATGATTCAGCTGGCATTGTAACCAACTAAATTTAACAGAATGAGGGCAGAAGGGGATGAATTCAATTAGAGCCTTTTATATCTTTCATACGGGCTTGGAAAGACCTGTTTAAAGACCGGAAATATTTTGACGCGTTTGTCGTAGACTGACCACGACAATTATTCATGTCCAAGTTGTTTAATCTCCGTAAAATTACAGACACGCGTCGAAACATCATCTTTGATGTTATGGCCTGTGTTTGGAAGGAATTTCCTTAAAACTGACTCTAGTGTACCATCTTTTTCCCACAATGTCTAATAACTATAGCGAGTTGATCCACGTGTGCTAATGTCTGGTGTAGCG